TTTGTTATGATAGCATTATTAGTTTTGCTGTGATAGTTTTGCTAACTTTGCTATGATAATTTTGCCATGATCATCATGTTTGTAAAACCTTCTAAAAATATCTACAAATAATATTCTCTAAAGCTAATGTCCAATAAAATATAAATAATTATTCATCCAATCATATTGTGATATGAAGTGACTAATACTAAAATTAACTAATATTCTACTAAAAGTTCATATCATAACAATATTTATAATATAATTATTCATTAAAGTTAATATTATCATTTTTATATTATTATCAATTTATTTTTTATTTTTAATCTTGTAATCTTAATTATATCACTTTATTTCTTCTTCTTTATTTCTTATAATTTCTTATCTTTTTTTATATTTTTCTTTATTATTTTTTATTATTTTATATTAATTATTAATTTTAATAATTAGTATAATTATTTTTATTTTTATCTATTTTTAATTCTTATCTTTATAATTTATTTTCTTTAATATAATATTAATTACTTAAATATTAATTAAATTATATTTTTAATTATTTTAAATATATATTTTATTTCTTTATTTCTTGATTTGATTAATATTATACTAATTAAATTATTATTATACTTAATATAGTATTAATTTATTTAATATAATACATAATATTTTACTAATTAAATTATATTATTAATTATAAATTAGATAATATTTTGTATAAATATAAATTAATATAATATATTATAAAAGAAATCTCTATAATTAATAAATCAAGATAGATTTATAAATAATTAATTAATAAAAAAATAAAGAAATAAAGTTTAAGAAATTAATTAATATTTTTATTCTTTTTATTATTACTTCAATATATTTATATTTAAATTTTAACTTATTCAATTAGTAAAAGTTATTTTTTTATATTTTTATTAATTATATTTATAATTATAATCTCTTATTTAACTAGTAAAAGTATTATAATTTTTATTTATTATAAACTTATTATATATTTTACTAATATTAATCAAAAATAATAAAGAATTATATTATTATTATTATATTATATATATTTTTTTATTTATTTTGTTAGAAATATTTTTTTACAAATATTATCTGATTTAATCTTTTAATTAAATATAATTACTGATATCATTCTTATTATAATCTTAATTAATTAAATATTATATTAATTATTAATTTATCTAATTAATTAAGAATAATAATATTATTAAAAATTCATATATTAATTTATTATAATAAGTTTAAATAAAATCTTTATAATAAAATTAATATTAGTTTATAAATTATACTGTATTAACTTACTATAATATAGTTCTGGCAGAAAGTAATGGCGGTGATACTTTCATGCATATTTTATGTAGTATAGATCTCTGCCGAAATTGGATCAAACCCCTGATGAAAATATTGATTAATAAGGTAATGTATTACATTTTTTATTTTTACTTGATTATCAAAATATTTACTGAATCACATTATTTTTCCCCACAAATGACACGTAGCACTATAAAATTGAACCATGAAGTCGTTAAGTACTTTTGACGCAAAAAATACCGTAATGCCACTGAAATAGCTAATAAATCCAGAGTTCCTCTTCGTTCTATTGAATGATATGTGTCTTCTCTTTGTAAAAATGGTAATATTCCAGCAATCCATCATTCTGGTTGTCCGCGTAAAACAACACCAAAAAAACGTTGCCAAATCGGAAAAATCTTGGAATCAAATCGCTTCACTACTTCGGCCGAAATAAAAGCATGGCTTGAAGAAACCCACCCAGGCTTTGAAATCAGTGACTGAACTATTCGTGACAAGCTTTTTAGGCTCGGTTATATTTCGATGTTGCCGAGACGTGTTCCACTCCTTACCTAATGCGCAAAAGAAAATCGACTTCAATGGTCACATGACCACGTTAATTATAATTAGAATAAGGTTATATTCTCTGATGAAACAACTTTGCAGTTATCCCGAAATACCTGTTGTGTATGGTCTCGTTCTGGTAAACCAACTGCACCAATGACAAAACACTTATTTAAAGTTCATGTGTGGGGTATAATTTATGTACGCGGAAAAGTAGGCATGCATATCTTTATACAAAATATGGACCGTCATCTTTATCATCAAATCCTCAATGATCACTTATATGAAAATGCAACTCATATGTTTGGGCGTTGGCAGTGGATCTTTCAACAGGATAACGATCCCAAGCACACCTCAAATGACATCCAAAATAATCTTGAAACATGACTTCCAAATCACGTTTTGCCATGGCCATCCTATAGCCCAGATCTCAATCTTATCAAGAATATTTGGGCAGTTCTTAAACGAAATGTGGAGAAAAGAGTTAAAGGAATGGTGGTACAAAAGCAGAGTGTGTCACAAGAGATCTTCGTTGCATTAGTGAAGGAGGAATGGGAAAATCTTCCGAATGTGGTGCTACTTAATAGTATCCGTAGCATGCAAAATCACATTCAAGAATGCATTGCTATGGAAGGAAATCACACAAAATATTAATATTTTGTATATATAATAGTTTGATTATATTTATAATAAAAATATAATTTTTTTGGAGGTTAATTATTAGTTTTTGCTTTATTTTCAATAAAAACCAACCACCATTACTTTCTGCCAGAACTGTATATATAATTTATTACATCATAATTATCTGATTTTGTCAAGAGAAATCATATAATTTTTTAAGTTATTTTTAGCTTAGAGAATAATTCTTTATAGAAGTTCTATTTTCTTTTGTTATATAAATATAATTAGATATATTACTCTTTTTATATTTTTATTTATAATTTTATTTTCTATATTTATCTATAAGTATCTTTCAAAGATATTATCATTTTAAGTAATATATATTAATAATTATTTATTTAAAAATGCTATTTTTGTTTTGTAATTTTTAATAATAATAATTATTATAATAAAAAATAAGTTTTTATAATAAACTCTCATCTATTTTAGAATTAATTTTCTATATAAATTCTATTTTAATACTTTATTAATATCTTGAATTTTTTGTATGAATTTTTATATTATATAACAAGAGATTATAATTTTAATTTATTAAAAATAAACTTAAATTTTATACAAATATTTATTTAAAAAAAATATTAATAAATATGAGAATAGGAAATTTTAAAAATTATATATATAAAATAAATATAAATTATTATGTGTATTAAAATATTATTTCAAAATATATATAATAAAATATTATTAATAAATTAATTGATAAAGTATTAATTATTAAATATGATTATTATTTTTGATTTAATTTTTTTCTGATTTTTTTTTAATTAATTTTAAAGATAAAAATAAATTAATAAGATTTATCTTTATTCTTTTAATTTTAAAAAGATTTATGATAATACTTTTTACATATTATTAAAAGCTTATTATCACTTTCAATCATAATAAATATGATTTATAATTTTTTTTTATAAAAAAAAAGATGTAATAATAAGTAATCTATTTCTTACAAGATAATATCTGATTGTAAAATTATATATATTTGTAAAACTAATAAATAAAAACAACTCTGCAAAATTCAAACAGATGGTTCTATTTATGTAATCTCCATTAATTCTGACATTTATATATCCTTTACATGATATTTTTCTATTAAAAATATAGAGAAGGAGTTATTTGTTTATGTAACTATATGAATAATCTTTATTCTATAAGGACAAGCTGGCTGTTTCTAATTTAAAAATATAAAAATAAAAAGATCTTGCAACTTGATAATGCAATTTCTTTGATAATATGAAAAATTAAACATCTATAAAGTGAAATTCATAAAAAGAGTATTGCATTTTTTACTCATGAATTTGATGTTATTATCATTCCTTCTTATGAGGTATCAAATATGGTAAATTGAAAAACAAGAAATATAACGCAAAAAACTATTTGTAAAATGCTCTGTTAGACTCACTATTAATTCATCAACATCTGGTAACTAAAGCCAAAGAATTAGAGATCCGTGTTATTATTCAAAATGAGGCCTATACTTCAAAAACTTGTAGCTGGTGTGGGAGTGTTCAAAAAATAGAAGGATCTGAGATGTACAAGTGTCAAAGTTGTGAGGCTGTAATGGATCGAGATGAAAATGGTGCTCGGGGAATTTTTCTCCGGGCTTTGCTTGATGGAGCCTTGATTCTTTCCGGCGATCATGCAGGAAATAATAGTAATACTTATTATTGATGTATTACAATCCATCCGAACAAAGTAATGAGTCAAATGTTTTAATGGAAAAATTCAAGACAAATGAAAAATAGCTTAAATTTTGTCTATGAAACTTTGTTCTATTAAAAAAAATTTCATCTTGTCTTAATGAATCAAATTTCAAATTTCTTATTGGATTTTGAATTTTCATTACGTCAGAGTATTGGTGTGGGGGACATAATTGCCTTCCCGACATTTTTTAATTAATAGTCCCAAGTCGAATTTGGTTTGCCGGGTCGATCAAAAAATCTGTGCACTCTTATTGACGTATTACCTGATTCAGTGCCCCTAAGCACTATTCGTAGGCTTCTCGCAGGACGGAAAAATTCATATATCATGATATCAGTATAAAACGGGATTTTGAGACAAAACGGAATAAATCGGTATAAAGGGAGTTTTATAGAGATATATATGCTATATATGCTACAAAAAATCGTTTTATAAATGGTTGAATGATGATCCCATCACATTTTATGAACGAATAACTGCATATAGTCGCGCACAAGAATTTTCTGAAGATTTTCGTGATGATAATGGAATTTATGTCAGATTGATTTATATAATTGTCCATAAAAAAAAGTAAAAATCGCGTTCTGTATTATTCGAAAGAAAATATACGCGTTGTTTGTTCATGTGCGCTTGTGTGACAATGACGATGATTTAAAGTGTTGTAATCTGCAAATTTTTTTAGTTTTTTCGCATCATTTCCCATCATGTCAAATCTTTCTACTAATGTGTCTAATCAAGCAATTGTTGAAAATAAAGAATTTAGTGTATTACAGTCTGTTAAGGAGTTCTTTGCGAACAGAGATATTAAATTCTACGTGGCCTTAACTGGTGCTCTAGCTATTTCTGGGGCTGGCCTTTATTACTATACCGCCTCAAAGTCACCTCGTCCTAAATCAAGCAAGAAAAAGAAAGGCAAATCGCAAAAAGGAACTACTAGAACAAACGTATCCTCTGCTGAAACAGCACAAACTGGAACAACATCTGGTTTCAATTTATTATTTTTGAAGTGAACTTCTTTGAATTCCTTGTGACTCCACTAGTTTTCAAGTTTTATCAACCTATCAGAACTTAACCGTACAGTCCTCCTATCTTGCAGCAAAAGGAATTCGGGGTAAAGCCATCGAAGAGGAAATCCAGTATGAAATTCTCTCACAAGCAGAAATCGAGGCAATGCCACCAGAGGTTAATTCTTTTACTTTAATATTAATATTTGATCTACATACTGACCGAAAATCTGTTTAGCAACGTGCCAAAGCAGCGCAAGTGCTAAAAGACCGAGGAAATGATGCTTATCGCCAAAGAAATTATGACAAGGCTGTTAAACTCTATACTCAGGCCATTGCATTTCACCCCAATCCTGTATTTTACAGCAATCGAGCTGCATGTTACTTCAATACTGAACAGTTCTATAAAACAATAGAGGATTGCAAAAAAGCACTGTCTTTGGATCCTTCTTATGTGAAGGCTCTAAATCGCCGTGCAGCTGCATATGAACAAACAAATCAATTTCAAGAAGCACTATATGGTATTAATTAATTATTTGTATCGGAATAAATATTTTTAGTATTAAATATATTCCAATTTTTTGTTATTAGATTACACAGCATCATGTATCCTCGATAATTTCAGCAATGAAGCAACTGTAGCTTCTATGGATCGTACTCTGAAGACAATCGCTGAAATAAAGGGCCGCGAATTAATGCAGGTAATTAAAATTTCAATATTTACTTCTTTTTCGAATTTCAACCTCACTTAATTCTCTCATGTTAAATCTGAATTCAGGATCGAAAAAAGCGGCTACCGTCCTCAAGATTTATAAAAGCTTATTTAGATTCTTACCGCAATGGTAGAGAAATTTCTTCCCTCTTTTTCATCATATGAATGTATCTTATAATAACGTGATTATTTAAAATTTTGCTTGATAAAACAGAACCATTGCAAGAATTTTTTTCTAACCGAGATGATGAAATTGCTGAAATAAATGGAGAGAAAGATAGCCAGAGTGGTTTGAATTCGGAGGAAAATGGAGATTTATATTATAAGAGTGCGCGTCAAAAGATTCAAGAACTTGACTACTCGGAAGCTTTTAGAGCCTTAGACAAAGCAGTCGAACTTGAATGCACTAATATGGCTCAGGCGATCGAAATGCGTGGCACTTTTGTCTATTTAGAAGGCGATACTGAGCGTGCCTTAAAAGATTTCTCAAAAGCTATTGAACTGAAGCCAGATTTTGTTAGGCCTTATATTAAAAGAGCCAGCATTTACATGGAAAAAGGTTATTCTACTTACACATATATATGGAAAATCGAGTAGCTAATTAATAATTTCTCAATAATGGATTGTAATTTTATTAGGAAATATTCAAGAGACGTGGCAGGAATTCGAAGAAGCTATTAAAATTAATCCAAATGATCCCGATATATATTATCATAGGTGAGTTCTTTATTATTATATATCATTTTAATACAATAATTATAATCGTTGCTTAATTGATTTACTGTTCTTTTAGGGGACAAGGCAAGTAACTTTTTGCAAACGATACTTGCAATGCACATGTTTTTTTCATGGAAATAAGAATTTATATATTTGCGTCGAATATTTTTAATACTTTTTAATAGTACACTTCCTTACTGGAGAACTTCAAAAAGCTACTGAAGACTACCGAAAAAGTATTGAACTTGATAGTTATTTCGTCTTTGGTTACATTCAACTTGCCATTGCAAAATACAAATTAGAACCACCGGAGGCGGGAATCGATACATTCAAAGAAGGTTTACAAAAATTCGATAAATCTGCCGATATGCATAATTATTATGGCGAATTGTTACTTGATTTGCAGCGTTTTGATGAAGCAATGGAACAGTTTGATAAAGCGATCGAACTGCAGAAAAGCAATCCTTTGCCGTATGTCAATAAGGCATTGGCAGCATTCCAAAGACAAGATGCCGCGCAAGCTGAAGAGCTCTGTAGAAAAGCGCTGGAAGGTAAAAATTGATAATGTAACCTTTGCATTATGAATTAAGCTTTTTTTCATTAATAATAATACTACTGTTATTCTTGTTTATAATCTAGTCGATCCTGATAGCGATGTAGCTAATCCAGCTATGAGTCAAATTCTTATACAACAGGGCAAAACAGAGGCTGCATTAAAATACATCGAGAAATGTGTGGAGGTTGCTCGAACTGAGCCAGAATTAGTAGCACATCTTCAGTTTGCAGAGGTCTGTAAGGTTAAATTTCCTCGAAACAAAAAGGATCATTACTTTGTTTCTCCGATTAATCATAATTTTATTTTTTAGGCTGCTAGATCTCACCTAAATTTTGCAAGGAATTACCCGCAATTTGCCGATCGTCTTACTTCTATTCGGTAAAAGCATGAAAATGCAGAGGGAATGATTGAATTTAAAATAAGAGCCGAATTTAAAAAATATAATATTAGCAAAAATAATATATAAAATTACTTATAATCTAAATAATAAATTAAGTTGGCTTGCAAAACTAAAACAAATTTGCATTCATTATTTAATGTTGATTTCAGGATCACGTTCATCATAGATTAAACTTGTAATAATAAATAACATGTCGGATAATGAAGCTTTTTTTAGCGCAATATCTAGCGGAGATATACAATCTATAAAGAAACTACTGGAACAAGATGAAAACGTGTTATACAGCGATGAAAATGTGAGGGAAATAATATATATAGGATATTTAAGTTTAAAAAGTTTCCCAAAATATTTTTTTAACTTTTGATATGTATATAAGGGTATTAGTCCATTACACGTTGCTTGCGCCAAGGGTCATTCTGAGATAGTCTCGTTATTACTTGAACATGGCCATCCTTGGAATGCAATAGATGATAACGGGAAAACTGCTGCAGAATATGCTAAAGAAAACGGATATAATGAAATCTATCAAAGATTATTAGAGGAAGGCTGTAGGGTCGAACTAATTCTCGGTATATAGCTTGATTTATATAGAATTTTAATGATTTTCTTATTATCATTACATTATTACATCGACATAAATATAAATGTGATTATAAAAAAAGGGCTACTTGGGAGAAAAAATCAGGAAGAGGAAAAAAAGAATGATGGTAAACCATCAAATGAGAACTTTCTTACGCGTCCACTTAAATACTCTGAAGATGGTACACGGCTGCTTGACTATGAAAACAATGGAGTGATGATGGGATGGGAAAAACCACTGATGGAAAAACATGCTCAAATAATTTGCCCGCGTGAAAATCTCGATATTCTTAATATTGGTTTTGGATTAGGATTAATAGATACCGAGATACAAAAATATAAGCCGCGTACTCACACTATAATTGAAGCTCATCCTGACGTGTATAAACACATGATAGCAGAAGGTTGGCATCTTAAACCAGACGTGAAGATTATATTTGGACGTTGGCAAGATGTATTAGATCAGCTTGAAACATATGATGGCATTTTTTTTGATACGTTTGGGGAATTTTATCAAGATTTGCGAGAATTTCATGAAGAGATGCCGAATTTTCTGAAAAACGAAGGAATTTATTCGTTCTTTAATGGATTGGGTAGATTAAATTAAATTAAAATTATTAAGTGGATTTCAATGGGATCGAGTAATTTTAACTGATCATTGTTATTATTATTGAAATAGGAGCGACTAATCCTTTTTTTCACGACGTGTATTGTCAGATTGTTGAGATGCATTTGGCGGATGTGGGATTAAAAACAAAGTTCATAGAAGTTAAAATCGATCCTTCTGATGATGAAATTTGGAATGGAGTCAAGGGCCGTTATTGGACATTAGATACCTATAGATTACCAATCTGTGAATTTATGACTTCTTAGCACACATTAATTGTTGTATGCGGAGAAATAATTTTATTTGTCTATTTATACAATCCTTGTTGATAAGATTTAACTATGATGTCTAAGGATAACCGAAAAACAAATTACATTAAATAAATATCATCCGCATTCAGGCTCCACGTTATCAACCAAATTTACTTCTGTTCCACCAGAAAACATTGCTGTGTCTTTGAAATATTCGTCAATATCCTGAACTCGTGGAGTTTTTTTCTTGTTCCTGTGACCAAAATAAGAAACAAGTTAAAAAATGCTCTAACTGAGAATGCGAATAGGAATACTTACGATACTTCAATTTTTTCATTATTCTTTTGAGCAGCCGAATCTTTACTTTTGGCGGTCTTTGATTTTGAATTTATAAATTCAGGAATAAATTCTAGATTTGGCGGCTTTTTATTTGATTCATTTTGATTGTGTGTTTTTTTATTATTATTATTATTATTATTATTATTATTATTATTTAATTTGGTATCTTCGATATTGTTATGTATCTCATTATCTTCTGAGACATCATCAACCACTTCCTCCACTAACACATGTCGTCCATTAACCTCTTTAAGTGAATATACCCTGCGTTTTTCATAGGATTTCTTTTGAATTTTACGTAAATTGGATTCTTGTTTTTTCTGTAATTCTGCCTGTTCCTTCTCGTTCAACCAAAGATTTGGGCGATCAGCGGGAAGTGTGAAATCTGCGGCTTGATCTGCTCAATACAAATTAATTGTTAAAATTATAAATTGATAAACATTATTGACGTATGTCATATTTTATGGAATTGAATTAGTTAAAAGTCTTACCGATAATAATGGACCTCTTTGCACTCGTTCGATCATAATCTAACAGTTTCTCTTTATGCATTTCCGCTGCTCGGCGTCTTTCTTCACGAATTTGATCTTGAATTTTTTCGTCTTCTTCGTTATGACCCAATTCTACCCAACCTCCACTCGCAGTTACAGCAGCAAAATTGCCAGATACTTTGGCAGCATATGGTACCGAACCACCACCAGCTTTTTTCTTCTTCATCGATTTTTGTTGTTGACTTGTTGTATTCTTTAATTTTCTTACTTCCCTAGCAATTTCTAATTGTTGTTCACGCGAAATTACAGGACTCCCACAAAAAGTGCATGGTCCAACTCCTTCAAATGTGCAAATTATCTTGCCGCAATTCAGACAATTGGGTGCAACTTCCAAAAGAGGATGTTTTGTCGCTGCATTTTTTAAATGAGAGTCAAATGGATTGTCATAATGGAATGGTTAATAATAAAATATACGTACCTTGACAAGAGCACGGGACTCTCTTCGAGTCACTACTTTGATCTTTTTCTAAATCTTTCATCGTCTTTTCTAAATCAGTCAGTTTTTTCTTAGCTGATTTATTTGACGCTTTTTTCTTACTGGAAGTAATGGTAGGCGTTGATGGACGTGATGTTGAAGAAATGGAGTTTGGCGTTGTAGGTCTACTCGATTGTAAAAAATTACTCGATATGCTTAAATCTTGTTGATCAAGATTAGGAGGGGGAAGTGGTGGTTTGGAGGCTGATGAATCAGTCGTCGTGGGATTTTCTTTGTTAATCTGCGTCAGATTTTTAGTTTTGGATTTTTTACTGAATACACGGGATCAAAATTACTTTAAATTTTGCTGAATATGATATTTCATCAAGAAAAATCTTGAACATACCTTCCAGCAAAATAATCTTCATCATCATCTTTACTTTTCATATAAGCATTCTTATCTCTTTGCCACGCTTCTTGAGAATCATTTTTATTCGGCTGGGGAGATGACGACTAATAAATAATGTCAGAAAATGCTCAAATAAAAAAAGCATCACAAGTAAAAATCAATACTAACTCGACTATCTTTCTGTCGATTTTGTTTAGCAGGTGTTGGAAACTGGTGGGTCTTAAGAACACGAGTTTGCTGAGTTGTAGTGATTTGCTTTTGAGGAGGAAATCTTTTAGCAATGAATTCTTCAATGAAAGTTGTGCTACCGTCGTTTACACCCAATAATTCCTTTAATTAGAAGAGAATTAATCGATTTGAATACTTAATGTAGAGAAACCTCCCTAAATGCACCCCCTCTATTAATGCACCCCTAAATGCACCTTCTGGATTTTTAAGTATATTACTAAAGATACCCCCTTTAAATGCGCATCCTCTATCAATAATGCACGCCCATGATTGATTCCTACGGGGTGCATTTAGAGAGGTTTGTCTGTACTCGAAAAAAGGTAGACAACTTTTGAGTGATAAATGCTGTTCTCACTTCTAAATGTTTAGCCAAACCAGATTCATTGTCAAAAGATAATAAATATGGTATTATTTGTCCCTCTAAAGTTTCACGGTCAAGTCCAAGAAAGGAGGTTAATTTTTCGCTCGCCCATTCCTCGAGATTCGACATTTTCTCGAAAGTCACCAGTGTGAACTTTTATAGTCTTTTCGTCACACAATGCAAGCAACGAATATTCATTATCTTTATAGATGCATAGTTTACGTAATATGATATACATGTCCTAATGAATTTTTCCTTATCGTTACTGCAAAAATATCCACGTTGTATTAATAAACTCACAACAGCAATGGAATCTCTCATCTGGGTTGATTGTGAGGTGAATTTATTATCGTTATTAATTATTTCCTTTTTTTCTTAATAATTATCATAAATAAACGAAATAAACGTGAATTTATAAATAGATGACAGGGCTGGATGTACAAAAGCATCATATAATTGAAATAGCTGTAATGATCACAGATAAAGATTTAAATATAATCGCAGAGGTGATTTGAAGAGGCAAAATGACAAATGAACAAGAAACAACAATTAATCTCATATATACACCCTCCACAAAAATAGGGACCTGATATAATAATTCATAAATCCAAGGAATTTTTAGATCAAACCATGGAACCCTGGAGTAAAGAACACCATGAAAAAGTCTCTAGTTATTTTCAATGTTACTCTTTTATATTTCATTTTAATTTAATTTCTTTAATTAATTTTATTAAGAGTGGTCTCACCGCAAAAGTACTTTCCTCAACCATTTCCACGCAAGAAGCAACTCAACAAATTCTCTCGTTCATCAAACATCATATTCCAAAACCTCGAATAGCTCCGCTTGCTGGGAATTCAGTTGGATACGATCGAGCATTTCTCGCTAAAGAAATGCCCGAGGTTATTGATTGGTGTCATTATCGAGTTGTGGACGTGAGTTCCATTAAAGAATTGGCTAGACGATGGTATCCATCCGTGTATGAAAATGCACCCATCAAGAAATATACTCATAGAGCATTGAGTGATATCAAAGAGAGTATAGAAGAATTGAAATATTACAGAAAGAATGTTTTCAAGTAATAATAAAAACCGGAGGTTTTCTTTGTAATACACGATGAAGTTGATCGAAGAATAAATAATTGTATGGATAAATAAATGATTAGATTATATAAATAAATAATAAATAATAAAAAAAAATAATAAATGATGATGACGTGTAAAAAAAAAATAAATGATGTTGATGATGATGATGATGATGATGATAAATAATAATGCAAAGTATGCGTGATTTTATAGATAGAATTCAATCCTAAAGAAAGATTATTTTATCAGAATAATTGTATTTTTAATTATTTTAATTTAAATCAACAAAGATCAAACCTTTTTCTACTCAACATTCTTTTTCTCCAATTCTTTCTTCATATGCTCATTGTTCTTCATAATAATAATTCGCTCGTTTGTCATATCCATAATCTGACTTTCTAATTCATAAATACGTAACTTTAGCTGTTTATTCTCAGCTAACAGTCTTTCTGCAGCTTCTCTTTTCCTTTTTCGCGATTCCTTTTGAATAATATCAAAAATAAACTCGATTTATTTTACTCACTATATATTAAAGAAAATTGGTAATTTATCAACAAGTTTGCGAACAGAAAAATAAACAAGAAACTTGCATTAGCGGCTGCACGATTCTTCACTTTGCGCTCTTGACGTTTATCACGAATGGCAGCTTGAGTCGCTGCCTGTATTAACATTGGCATTAAATCAACTTTTGTTGTTGTGTCTTGTTCAACTTTGCAAAGAGACTCATGGGAGGTAAATGTAGTCAGTGTTTCAGGTGTAGTAGTAGAGGGGGCGTTTTGTTGTTGCTCGGACGAATTGATAAAACATATCTTTGTCATGGGAATTGGGTCGGGTGGTTTAGGTAAAAGTGGTTTCCAGATAATGTTGCTGTTATTGTTGAGATTTGGTTGTTCTTGTTTCTTTCGACTGCGTCTTGATAGGTTGGTGGGATAAGTAATTTTACTTTCGTTAGCAATTTCTGGTGTATTATTAGAAATTAGCGACGGTGATGACATTATTTTTAGTGTCAATCTAAAATTGATTGGTATACGATACGTATACGTTTAAGCACAAGTTGACGCCTTGACTTTTTTATTCAATGACATACGATGAACATCTTGCATCATATATTAAATATATGCAGCTTATTATCATTGTTATTTACGTCACGCGTATTACAAAGATTTTGTGTATCATCCAAAACGCGCCAACCTCTTTGCTCGAATTTCATCAATCGAAATTTCATTAGACTTCTCTGTATCTTGTTGATTATTTGATACGGATGATGAGGATGATGGATTAGTTTGCAAACTTGCAGCAATTGCTGCTTCGATCATAGCTGCGTCAATGTCATCCTGTGATGTTTGGTCTGATGTTTTTTGGGTTCGCCCAGGTTTAGGTTCTGGATGCTCGATAGCATATTCGTCAGCTTGACATATTGGTAAACTTCCTCTTACCACAAAAATACTATACCCTTTTTTATAAATAATCAAATAAACCAACCAACCAACTAACTAAATCAATAAGTAGTTAAACCAATTTTGGGACATACCATCATTTTCTAATTGATTGAGCAACATCCCTAGATATGTTTGACTAATCCATTCTGGACCACGTAAAAGGGAATCTAGATTATACCATCGTGTCGGTGTCCCACCAAATTTTCGTAGGCAAAACCTTTTGTTATTATGAAAAAAAGATTACATTTGCGAATTAGGGATTTGGAAGAGATTTGTCACTAATTTTTACCAGTGTTCATGTAGATTACAAATATATGCTATTTCATTTCTATAGAGAATCAATGTGAAAAAAAGAATAATCAGAATAATTCCATCATATCTAATAAAAAAGGGAGAAAATATAAATGAACTCACGCTGGATCATCACGTACACCTTTACATTGTTCTGAGCCAATAGGAATAATTTCTAAGAAATATGATAATTACTATTGATTCATTATTTTCATTATTATTTGTTCAATCAAATAAATAAATGATTAATTAATTAAAATAACATCTTAATTACCAAGATTCCAAACTTTGAGAGCTTCACTTAACACCTAATCAATTAAATGCACCCGACATTATTATTATATGGTAATTCTAGTGAATGCAATACAATTATGTGTGATGTACTTGAACGGAAAAAAATCCCGAATCATCCATATTCTGACTTTTTACGGAAGCATTTGGTACTTGTCCAGGTAATGCACCTTCTTGCAAAGCGGCTTGTTCCGCATGATCTAAATTTTGTGCTATTTCACCTAAATCTACTGCCGTAAATAATTCACCTATCAAGGAGCAATTTTTTAAAGTTACATCATATATGTGTTTATGATCTAAACAAGCGAACCGATCTACCTACCTTGCAAAAGAGAATTTAAGCAATGCTGTGCACATAATTGACCTTCTTGCTATGTTCAAAAGAAAAATATTATAAACTTTTCCTTAAAAATTTCAATGAAAAATATGTTTCTACCTTTTCCCAAAATAAATATGGAGTAAGATCGCTCATGGTATATGTTGTTAGTAATAAGAGCAAACTACCATATAGCGATGCATACAGTATCACCACGGAATGAATGCGAATTTTGTGAACTTGATTCGAATCAAATTCGAATCAATTCACTAAATTTGATGTACACAAAAATTGACGAGATTCAAATAGCGATATAATCTTATATCTTGCGATTTGCCTCTTAAAAATCACTGGAGAAATGTAAGCAAGCGTTTGTTACATAGAGTCCATCATCGTAGAGCCCATCATCAAATATCCAAACATTCTCACTTATTTGTTAATCTATCACGCATCCTTGATTCCCACCGCCCAAGTCATGGTTTGATCAATCAACGTTTATTGGTGGAGGATTGAATTGTTCTAGGCAAAAAATTCAAAAGGACTTTAGTTTTTGATTTGAAGTTATTCAGAAAATTAGTCAAATCTCTCTATAATTATCACAATTAAAAAAACAAATTGAATAATTATAAAGATGTATTATATAAAAATATGACTATTTTTTATTCTGTAAGGCATGCAAATTTGTTTGGCAATTTAAATGATTTAATAATTTTTATTAGTAAAAGTTCTATTACATAATATTTCAAAATTAACAGAATCTCAACTATTATTTAATATTTAAAATACAGATTAAAAAGTAAATTTTTGAATGTAAAACTTATTATTAGGATAGAACTTTTAATTAATAAAAATTTAATCTTAATTCCAATTCTAATTTAATAAAATATCTAATTTGAATTAAAATTATATAAAATTAATAAGTCTTTATTTATTAATAAAAAATAATTAATATAATTATATAAAACTTTATTATTAATAAATAAATAAACATTATATAATAATAATATTTTTTTAGAGAGATCTAATTATATTAAAAATAAAATAATTATTAAAATAAAATAATTATTAAAATTATTAAAATAATAATATTAAAATACATAATAATATTAAAATATAAAATAATTAATAATAAATAAATTAAAATGGAATTAATTCAAATTTAACTGATTTAAATTAATAATATTCAAATTAGATTAACTTTTAGATTAATCTAATAATTAATAAGCATCAAATTATATAATTTTTTAAGAAGTAAAATTACAAGATTAATAACTTATTTTAATTTAATTAGAATTATAATTCTTTAATTATTCTAATATTAACTTTTCTGAATTTTAAATATATTTGATTTATTAATTTAAATATAATTAATTAATAATTCAGATAAATACTTATATTAAGATTAATAATATATAATAAAAAAATTCAAAAACAAATATAAAAAATAAAAAATAGCTCATATTTTAAAATTTATTTATAAAACTATTTTTAATATTATAATAAAAAATATTTCTTAAATTTTATTATATATATTTATATTATTATATAATATTAATTTTAATCAAATATTATTAATTAATAATTTAATTAGTTATCTTTTAAAATATTATATATTAACAAATTTATTAGTAAAATATAAAAATTCAAAATAAAATTGAAAATATTTTTTTAAATTAAAAATAGTAATTTATACTAGAAATAAAATATTAAATTATAAATTAACTTAAACTAAATAAAGCTTTATATATTACTTTTTTAATAAAAAATATAATTAAAAAATTTAATATTTTTTTTATAATTTATAATAAAAAGAATTTTTTATTTTTATTATTTTAAATTTTTATAAAATTACTTAAATTATTTAAAATTTAAATAATAATAATAAAGAATTAAATTAAAATTAAAATAAATAATAATAATTTTTCATTAAATTTTATATAAAATAACTTTATTTAATTAAATAATATTTATAAATATTAATAATTTAATTTTTTTAAAATTATTGTATTTATTAAAGAATTTATTATTTTATTTTTAAAATATTTCTCTTTATTATTAGTTTTTATAAAATTATAATAAATATTATTAATTTATTAAACTAAATTTTTAATTATTTTTTTACATATTTTCAAGTTTATATCTTAAAGAATTTTAATCTTAAAATTAATATTATCAATATCTAATAATAATAATTTTTAAACTTATTTAAAATCTTTTTTAATTATAAATTATATTATATTTTTAAATTTTTTAATTAATTATTATATATTTTAAATTATTTTACAAGTAAATTTAAATTTTCTTAATTTTATAATTTAATAAATAATATACTTAAAAATTTTATTATACTTTAATTTTTAAAATTCTTATAATATTTATAAAATATATTTATTATAATATACTGTAATATATTAATATATTTTATTAATTAATTTATAAATAAAAATTTTTTTATAAATTTTATAATAATATCTAACTATTAATTAATATTTAGTATAAAAATTATTTAAATAATTAATTTTTACTTTGAAATTTATTTAAAAGTTTTTTTAAAATATTTTAAAATTTAAAAATAATTAAAATTATTAAATTATTAATATATTAATATATTAAATATTTATTTTAAAAAATACTTATTTTTTGAATTTTTAATAATATTAATTAATAAATTAAATATAAATATTTATATAATTAAATTACTAATTTTTTTTAAAAAAAACTTGAATAAGTTATCTAAATTATTCAAAAATTAATCTTAATAATAATTCTTAATATAATAAATTTTTAATATATTAATTATATAATGGATATTTAATTTTAATTTATTAATATTAATAAAAATATTAACTTCTTTTTTTATTAATGAGTTTATAAATAAATATTTAAAAATAATTATAATAAATTTATAATATAATAAGTATTTAAAATTTATTTATTATAATTAAATCTTTTTATAATTATTATATTTAAATTAAGTAATTATAAAAAATATAATTATAATTAAAAAACTTTTTTATAATCATATCTTTCTTTAGTTATTTAATTTTGTTTTTTTAATATAAGATTATTTTATTAATAGTTATAAATAAGATAAAATATAATATAAATAATTTCAATTTATAAATTTATAACTTTATTATTTAAATAGTATTTAGATCTGAAATTATTTTATAAAATAAAAAGAATATATTTATAAGAAAATAAAATAAATATAAAAATAAATAAATTAATAATTATTTATAAATAAAATATATATAAGTTAAATAGAATTAATTAACTTAATTTATATCTTTAGAAAATAATCTAATAAATTATAAATAATATAAATAATAATATAAATATAATAATAAAAAAATAAATACAAATATAAAAAAAATATTAATTAAAAATCTAATTAAAAATATTAATAATCTAAATTAATAATAAGAATATATATAGTAATTATTGATATAATAATATATTAAATTTAATTAATTAAATATATAAATACTTATTTATATATTTAATATAAAATAATTTTTAAAGAAAGTAATACAAAAGCTAATTTATTATATAAATAATACAAAATAAAAATCTAAAACTAAATAAGATAATCTAATCAAAATTATTATATATTCTCTTACTTAAAGTATAATATTCTTATTATATATAAGTATATAATTTCTTAAAGATATAGTATAAGCTACTTAAAGACTAAAATCATATAACTTATTTCATTTTGAAATCTAAATTTCTGAATTTTTTAAATTAATTAAAAAATTAAATTTTTAATATTTTATAAAAATTACATGATATTTATGTCATGTGCATATTTGCATACTTAAAATATAATACATTAACAGTTTAAAGATTATTATTTTTATTTATTTCTTTTATAAATAAAGTTAATTCACTATCTAAAATATACCTATGTGACTTGAATTTTTTACATATATACTTTATTAATTTTTCTATTAATCTTTTATGATATAACTTATATATCTTCATAATTTTTGTATAAATTTTCTGATTATTATAATATTAACTGAATCAAGAACTTATAGAATCACTTTTTATAAGTCAATCTATATATAATTACAATAATTTCTTGTATAACATTTAGCTATCCTCTAGTATATTTTAATAAAGTTAAGTTCACAATAGAACTTTGAATAAAAAATACATAAATAACTAGTATCCTTTATTAATTCCATAATTGTTAGCTTTTGGGCAAGAAAATCTAATTGAAAAATCATAATTTTTCTTGCATTACAGTTTATTTGTAAAGAACTTTCAGATAATTACTTGTTATTATAAGTGTAATAACTTAAAGATAACTTCTCTCTTCAAAGTCTTCTTTCTTCTAATATTTTTCATATTTCTTTTGACTTTCTCTGCATAACTAAATCAGAATAATCATCCTTAAATATCATTTATTAGATTTTTTTTTATTCATTAGAATCTATAAAAGTTATCAATTATATTATTAGTTATTTTTCTTCAGATTCAAGATTTATCTTTATAGTAATAAGAGTATCTTTTGTATATATACTCTATGATTTATACTATTGTCAAAAGTAAAAATAGTAATTATATTGAGAAATTTTATTTCAAAGATAGGAATCATCTTATTCTTGATTTGATCTAATAAGTGATCAAATATTTAATAATCTTCTTGATTTTTGCCTAATAAAAGATAATAATATGTCTTAGTAGGAATAGTTAGATATATTTTAGATTCTTCTTTACTTAGTTTCAACTGACCATATGCTTCTGAAAGAAATTCACTTATCATAATTAATCTTTTATTTTCTTTCTTTTGTAATGATACCTCTCTATCTAGAATCCAAATCTATTTCTTTACATTATTTAAATAAAAAATATATTTATCATGCATAATAAGAATTAGTTTTTATTTATCTATTCCAAGTATTGATAAAATTCTTTTTATTTCTTTTCTCTTATATCTTGTTATTTATTATTTCAAATTTTGAATTTCTTGCAAAAATTCTTTCTAATAAGCAATAATATTCTCTTACTCATACCTATCAAAGTATTATTCTTTTTGATATTCTGCAAAATGATATCCTAAATTATTTAGCCATCTCTTGGCAGTTCATATACTAATTATTTTTTTTGTTTTTCCTACATACTGAAAGAATATAATATTATTAACA